ATGAAAGGTCTGTGTGAGGGAGTGTGTGTGTGTGTGTGTGTTATTTAGCTATATATATACATCCATCAAATGAGTTCTAAGAAAAGTCTGGGTGGGTGTTATTTAGCTGTGTATATACATCCATCAAATGAGATATATGAAAGGCCTGTGTGTGAGAGAGAGAGTGTGTGTGTTATTTAGCTATGTATATACATCCATCAAATGAGTTCTATGAAAGGTCTGTGTGTGAGGGAGAAAGAGTGTGTTTGTGTTATTTTGCTATGTATATACATGCATCAAATGAGGTATATGATAGGTCTGTGTGTGCGAGTGTCTGTGCTATCATCCTACTATCTACGCTCGTAGGGTTGCAGGGTTCTTATCCTTCAGTGGTGATGATAATCTCTAGCGCGCCTATTAATTTCCATGGATGTATGTCTGTATCACCAGACAGTCCCTATGCACTGGTACGGTGTCTTGTATTTGCAAACAGTTGACTGTGCATGTGAAATTTGTCGGTCGCTTTGAAAATACTACACATCTGACCTGCTTCCGCTAGTCTGGGAAGAACGTGGTTTTAAATCTACCCCTTGGTGGTTTAATCTACCCCATGTTGGTTTTACTCTACCCCATGGTGGTTTTAAATCTACCCCATGGTGGTTTTAATTTACCCCATGGTGGTTTAATCTACCCCATGGTTGTTTAATCTACCCCATAGTGGCTTTAATCTACCCCATGGTGGTTTAATCTACCCCATGGTGGTTTTATTCTACCCCATGGTGGTTCTAAATCTACCCCATGGTGGTATTAATCTACCCCATGGTGGTAGGTAGAGCAATCGAAGCGTTGATACTACTATGTCACCTGTTAGAAACAGGTACACTATGGTCAGGTCCAAATGTACTATAAGCTCAACACTCACACATTTACCTCTCATGCTCAGTGTGAACCTATATATATAACACGGTCTAAGAATAGAACAAACATATCTATAAGCTCAATACTCCCACACATACCTCTCATGAACAGTGCTTAGAAACAGGTGCACTAGCTCAATACTCAAACATCTCCCTTTCATGCACAGTGTGAACCTATATTTCGAACATGGTCTAATAATAGAACAACCATATCCCACCCACAGGCGGCGGATCGGAAACAAATGTTGCTGGCGGTCAGTGCGTGGCTGATAGTCAACAGTATGAACTCTGAGCGTGTGCAGGCCAATATGTTAACCATCCAGAATGTCACCAATGTGTGGCGCAAGCAATGCTTCCAGTACCTACTGGATAGGCACACGGACTTTGGCAAGGCGACGGCACAGGTAGGAGTGGTGGTGAATGGGATTGGATGTGTATGCGAGTATATATATATATGTGTGTGTGTGTGTGTGTGTGTGTGTGTGTGTGTGTGTGTGTAGTGTTGT